TGGTTTCCGCAAGATCCAGAATGCACTTCCTGCATAACCTGCCGCGCTTTCTCTCCTTGGACGCAAGTCATCAGCGGTCCGGAGAACCTCCATTTGTAAAGTTCTCCGTCCTTTACGACGTACCGTGCGGCCTGGGTTTTTATCTTTCGGGCTGCCCATTTTTCTGACGAAAGTTCTCCGTTAGTTATGTATGCGAGGATTGTTTCCATCCACGGACGATTGAATCCGTAATCGGACTGATCTTCGACCGGGTGGTCTTCCTCCACATCGTCTTCTGGTTCGTTGATCAGATTTATGACTATGGGCGGTCCGATGCTCGGGTGTTCGATAAATTCAACGGGAATTACCCTGCTCATACCAGGATCCGAGCTGGATGCTAGGGCAGCCAAAGCGTCTGCCAGGGCGTTTTCTGCTCGGGGAATTCTAGTCAAAGCGAATTGATCGAACTTCTGAGTTAGATCTTTTACCAAGATCAGATACGCTTCCATTCTTTCGTCCCTCGCTTCGTATTCCCCGCTAAATTGGCTAGCCACTTGTTGGGAATCGCAGTATGCGTGAAGGTTACGAATTTTCAGTCCGTGAGCTAATCGTAGTCCTGCGATCAAGGCCTCATACTCGGCTTCGTTATTTGAAGCGTGGAAAATCAATCGGAACGATTGTTCCAATACTTCTCCCGTTGGGGATGCAAGTCGGATGCCAATCCCAGAACCTTGTTTGGACGAGGATCCGTCAACGTACAAGATCCAGGTCGAGTTCGGCTCTTGGCTGGACGTACTTCCCGTCGGGAGTTCCACTATGAAGTCTGCGAGCACTTGTGATTTCGCGCAAGTATTTGAGCGATATTCGATATCGTACTCGTTCAGCTCGATCGCTCATTTTGCCAACCTTCCCGACTGGCTGGGACTGTGCAAAATGGTGCGGAAAGGGAACGAAGTGGGAACGACGATGGTGTGAGAATGGAAATACGGTCTAAGCTTCCTTGCAGACATGACCACGGCAAAGCCAATTTCTCCATCATCGGATATCGCGTCTCCGCGTCCAGTAGTGTCTTACTTACGTAGAAGATCGGCTTTTGTTCGCCGCGTTCTTCCCGGATAAGGACGCCACTTACGGCGGTCGTTGATACTGCGATATAGAGGAATAATGGTTCTCCTTCTACGGGTTTCGCGAGTACTGGCGGGGTAGCTAGGTAATGTTTCAGCTGTTGGAAAGCCTTCTCGCATTCCTCCGACCATTCGAACTTTTTATTTCCCTTTAATGTCTCGTAGAAAGGTANAATTCTCCGGACGCAACGGCAAATCGACACTTTGCCGGGTTCAACTTCATGTTATGAAGGTTGAGCCTCTCGAAACATTCCTGGAGGTGTACGACGTGGTCTTGCTCTTTGAGCGATTTCACGAGCATATCGTCGATGTACACTTCCATTGTTTTTCCGAGTTGTTCGGAGAACATTCGGTTGACGAGTCGTTGGTAAGACGCGCCAGCGTTCTTTAGACCGAAAGGCATCACTTTGTAGCAGTAGGTTCCACGATCGGCTATGAATGCGGTTTTCTCCCGATCGTCGGGATTCATCATGATCTGATTGTATCCCGAGAAGGTGTCCATGATAGATAAGAGTTTGTTTCCTGCGGTTGCCTCGACTAAGCGATCAATGGGCGGCAGCGGATAACTATCTTTCGGACACGCTTTATTGAGATCGGTGAAATCGACGCAGACTCGCCATTTTCCGTTCTTTTTCTTTACGAAAACAGGATTGGCGAGCCATTCAGGATATCGAACTTCTGTGATCGATCCTACTTTGAGGAGTCTGTCGACTTCGCTGTTGACCGCTTCGGCGCGTTCCGGCCCCAGTTTTCGTCTTTTTTGTTTGACGGGTTTGGATGTCGGGTCAACGTTGAGTTCATGACATGTGATATTTATGTCGATCCCTGGCATATCTTCCGCAGTCCAAGCGAACGTGTTCGAGTTTCGTTTTAGGCATGTCAGGAGTTCGACTTTTAAGGTCTCGCTCAGGTTTGCACCGATTTCGACACAGCGTTCTGGAAAATTCTCGTCGATGCATACCGAGATGACGGGTTCGCAGGTTGGCTCGCGCTTACCTTCCAAAGCCTCAGCCGCTCGCAACTGCCAGAAGAGTTCCGTTTTATCTTGCTCTGGGGTGTTGTCGAGGAACGTCGACTTCTTTTTCTTTTTGGAAGAGATGTCGACCGGCAGATTTTTTCGTTTTAAATCCGCGGCGTAGCAAACCTGCGAGGTTCGTCTATTTCCCCATATAGTCTCAATTCCGTTCGGAGTCGGGAACTTGAGACACATATGGTACGTCGACGGAATCGCTTGCATCGAATTCAACCACGGTGTCCCTACGATTGCGTTATAGGACATAGGTCGATCGACGACTTCGAACTCGACGNCGTTTTTCACTATGCTCCCGGCGCGAACTGCCAAGTTGATCGTTCCGAGGGTCATAGTGATTTCTCCCGAGAGTCCTACTAGCGGGCTTACGTTTTCCGCGATTTCAGATAGATCGATTTTCATTCTCTCGAGAGTATTTTTGAAGATGATATCAGCCGAGCTTCCGGTATCGACTAATATTCTCGCGACATCCATATTTTGGATCGTCAGCTCAATAACGAGAAGATCGTTGAGAGGTTTGACCGAATCGATCGTTGCTCTTTTCTCGAACGAGATGACGTCGCCGTTCAGATTAGGCATGTTATTTCTCGTTCGTTTTAGCGACTATTGTGTAAGAGAATCCGACCCCCCCCCTCCTTCTAGCACCAAACTGTGGGAACCGAAATCCACACGGTCGATTTTCCGTCAAATATGGAAACTTAGGATAAAACCCTAATTTTTCCGAGGTCCTGGATCTCTGCGAATATCACTAAAACAAACGAATTTAAAAGAATATGGATTAACAATGAAGAACAGAGATTAAGAACTTGTGCGAAAGCTTTTATTGAATTAGAATCGACAACTGTTACAAGAAGAATTGAAGAACTTGACGTCGAAACGTTCTAAGGATCTGAAGTGCTAGTCTAAACGCTAAGTCCTAAATTCCTAAGCTAACAGCCGTCTTTTTAGGTCTAAATTTCGTCCCCCCCCCCTCCTGCCCTATGCCTCTGGTTTATATACTCCTTGCCTTGACGGTTCGATCTTTCCATTTTGCCGGATTTGAGTATTTCGGGAATCTTCCATTTTTCTCGATCCTTCCTTTTCTTCCGCATAAATCTTCTATTTATCTTCAAACTTGCCTTTATTTTCTTTCTGCGAGTAAACCGTCAAACGTTATCAAATCTGCGGGTTAGATTCCGTTGAAATCGCGAGATGGGTTTTTATCGCGTTTTAGGTCCTTCCGGGCCGTTTTGCGATAAAAAACCGTTTTCCGACTTTTACGGGACCGTTTCCTGATCTGACGTCGTTTTTAATAAATTTCTCGAGTTAATCGCAAAGTTTTACGATTTACTCGACTTTTTATTGAAAACACGTTTTTTACGACTTACTCGGCGTTTTTATTAAAAAACGCGTTTTTATGATTTTAACGAGACGTCTCTAATAAATCGTATAGTTTAGGCAATGTTCGGTGTTTCGTTTAACCGTTGCCGTTTTATATGATTTCCTCGAATTCTTTCCGAGAAAGCGAAGTTTTACGGTTTTTATCGTAAAACTCGAACGGTAAGTCGGATCGAGATGGAACGGGAGACGTTTTAGCCGTAGTTTAGAATGCGATCGTGTCGAAAGACGTAAGTTTTGAATCGCGGATGCGGGAAATCGAGGCGCGGGATGTCCGAGAAGTTTTTAGTTCGCCGATGGGCGAACTAGTGGGGTGATTTTTAGTTCGCCCATCGGCGAACTAAGCCGGACCGGCTTAGTTCGCCGATGGGCGAACTAGTGGAGTGTCCCTAGTTCGCCCATCGGCGAACTAAGCCGGGTCGGCTTAGTTCGCCGATGAGCGAACTAGAGGAGTGTCCTTAGTTCGCCGATGGGCGAACTAGTGGAGTGTCCCTAGTTCGCCCATGGGCGAACTAGTGGTGACTAGTTCGCGTTTTTCGGCTGTTTTGGTTTTTTGCGATTTCGTAAAACGATTCTCGAATTTTATAAAACGATTCTTCGAGTTTTATAAAACGATTCTTCGAGTTTTATAAAACGATTCTCGAGTTTTTTAAAACGATTCTCGAGTTTTATAAAACGATTCTCGAGTTTTATAAAACGATTCTCGAATTTTATAAAACGATTCTCGAGTTTTATAAGACGATTCTCGAGTTTTATAAAACGATTCTCGAGTTTTATAAGACGATTCTCAAGTTTTATAAGACGATTCTCGAGTTTTATAAAACGATTCTCGAGTTTTATAAAACGATTCTCGAGTTTTATAAAACGATTCTCGAGTTTTATAAAACGATTCTCGAGTTTTATAAAACGATTCTCGAGTCTTATAAAACGATTCTCGAGTCTTATAAAACGATTCTCGAGTCTTATAAAACGATTCTCGAGTTTTATAAAACGATTCTCGAGTTTTATAAAACGATTCTCGAGTTTTATAAAACAATTCTCGAGTTTTATAATGATTCTCGAGTTTTGTAAAACGATTCTCGAGTTTTATAAAACGATTCTGAGTTTTATAAAATCACTTTTGCGGAAAGTAATGATCTCCCTTTTACAGAAGCTATCGCAGACGTTGATTTCGAGAGTACGGTTTTTGACACCAACATCTGCTAGCTAATCTTAAAGCGTAAGTTGGAAGTAGCCGAAGCTGTGTTAGCGTAGTTTCTGGATGGGAAGATTGTAATTCTCTTGTTTTTTGTGGCAGGATGCATCTGAATGCGCGGGGGGGGGGGGGGGGTGCTAACCTTGACAACTAGTTTTTTTTATGGATTTGGCAACACCAGGAAAATGAGTGTCTAGCACGGTAATCAGAATGATTGAAACTTTGCCTAGTTATTATTAGATACATTTTTGTATATTGATGGAAGGATGACTCTTTGTTGTTTGGTGTGTAGCATATGCAAGTGCTGATGAAATACAGAGAAAGGCGGTACGGGTTAATCCTACATCTGAGGAGGGCAATGTTTGTTGCACCAAGGTTCACAGCGCACATGCATGGGAAGGAAATATCTGTTAAGGTGGCTAGATGCAAAACCCGGGTAGCAGGGGACGCGAAGATTGCCAAGTATCTAGGTAAAAAGGGACAGAAGTGGGGGGGGATGTAGACACACTGTATGCCCCTATGATTTGGGAAAGGTGTCACTGGTTTGGATTTTGTATCAGCCTGACCGATTGGAGTATTCTGGTGATGGATCCTAAACCCCCGTTTGAAAACAATGGAAGAGGTAAATGTGTTGATGGAACTAGTGGCGACAATGTTACCGTACATAGCTAAGATGATCTTCCCTCCAGAGACAATTGCAGAGGATACCCGAGTTCCCTTCCTTGTTGAAAGGTTGGATGATCTTTATGAAAATGTCTCGAGTGATGATTGTGGCCCAGTTGCAGTGAAGTTTTTTGAAATGCATGCAACAGGGAATCCAAATCCAACAATGGCAGGGTTAACTGATGATTTGGTGGACATATTCATGAAGCACTATGCGATGAATCTGTAAAAGGGTTTGGTTGTCCCTTTGTATGTGCGTTGAAGGTGTGTGTGGAATAGAAGCACTGAACCTATTTTGTGACGTAGTAAGGCATGTGGATGTATGTTGTTTTGTTATGGCATGTGGACCGATTTTTTGTTGATTATGTAGTAAGGCAAGTGGACCTATTTTGTACTTAAGTAAGAATATTGTTGGTCTCTTCACCTCTATTAACAGCTTCTTTTATTGCTCTCTTATTTTAATTTTTGGGCATGTTCAAAACAATTCAGTAAAAAATAATCTTTTTATTAACTAGTCATCCTTGTTATTTTTGTAAAACCATTCATACCCACCATATTGGCTTCATCTCTTTCGTCATGTTCATCATACCAAACACATGTACACTTGTATTACCTTCATGTACAGGTAACCGGGTCGTATTTGTACATAATTAGACGTACACACCCTATGTTCATCTTACCAGACACCTGGACACTTGCCATTGTTAATGTACAGATTTCCTAATGTACACATTGCTAACACAAAACACCTCACTGAAGACATTCCAGTCATGTAGCCTTGTTTTTATTCCTTACGTACATGTACACTATATATGTACATCATTGCAGGGTACATTTATTGTACACATGGAATTTTTTTTAATATGTACATCCTTTCAGTGTACAATAAACAATGTACATTATTATACGTAGACACCCTATGTTCATACATCCAAAAATACATGTACATCAGTCATTTAATGTACATATATCTATAGTACATTCTTCCACACTCGTCTTACGTACATGTACACTATTGGTATGTACAACACCTTAGTGTACATTATATGTTGACGTCTATTTTTTTAACCATTCTCCCTCGTGTACATCAATACGGTGTACAATTAACCATGTGTACATAATTTCTTATACATAGTTCCTACCTATTAAGGAAGTTCAGTACATTATATCGAGACAGGTCAACAATATTCTTACTTAAATACAAAATAGTTCCGCATGCCTTACTACATAATCAACAAAAAAATGACAGAAGTGTACACACGGGAAAATCGGTAACCAAAAATAGAGGTGAGTGCGGAATAACCAAAAGTATGAAAATGTACTTTCCGAAAATGCGTATATTGAAATTTTTAATTGTACACTGCATTAATGTACACGAGGTAACATGGTTTAAAAAAAATAGACGTGTACATATTATGTACACTGCAATGTTGTACATACCTATAGTGTACATGTACGTTAGAAATGAGGCGAGTGTGGAAGGATGTACTATAGATATGTGTACATTAAATGACTGGTGTAAATGTGTTTGGACGATGAACATGTGTATGTACGTGTAATAATGTACATGGTTTGTTGTACACTGCAAGGACGTACATATTAAATGTACCCTGCAATGATGTACATATATTTAGTGTACATGTACGTAAGGAATGGGTACAAGGCTAGATGCCTGCAATGAGGTGTTTTGTGTTAGCAAAGTGTACATTAGGGTGAGATGAACATTAAAAATGTCTACATTAAAAATGTCTAGTGTACATGTGTCTAGTAAGATGAACATGGGGTGTGTACGTCTAATTATGTACAGCTCTACCTGGTTACCTATACATGAAGGTAATAAAGGTGTACATGTGTTTGGTATGATGAACATGACAAAAGAGATGAAGCCAATATGGTGGGTATGAATGGTTTTACAAAAATAAGAAGGATGAGTAGTTAATAAAAACACCGTCCCATTAACAGCCAATACATGTTTTGAATTGTTTGAACATGCCCAAAGACAAAATAAGAGAGCAACAAAAGAAGATGTTAATAGAGGTGAAGACGCTATCCAATAGAAAAGTATTCCAGAAACTCAAAATCCCATGCAGCCATGCATTGCTAGTAGCTGATTCCATTGGTCTCCCTCATGCTCAACTTGTTGGGGATTGTTACAAAACACAAACATTGAAAGATACCTATGCTGATGCCATTTACCCCGAAGCCCCATTTGGTGAACAACCAATCCCTCCAGCAATTGAAAATCTCAACTTACAGCCTCCAAACACTCGTCGTCCTTCTGGCCGTCCAAAAGATAAGCACATCCCTTCCATTAGAGAAATTCAGGTTAGTACCAAAGTTTAACTTATCCCCTACAAATAACTCAAATTTGTTCTCATCATGCTCTTATATTTCAGGTCCCCAAAAAAACAAAGCTCAACAAATGCGGTCACTGCGGTGTCTCCGGTCACAACATGACTAACTGCGTTGTGCCTATTTGATCTGTGGTGAACATCGAGACGGATCAGCTACTAGCAATGCATGGCCGCATGGGATTTTGAGTTTCTGGAATACTTGGCAGGAGCAAACTTTGTTGTCCAAGCCAATAGTGTAAGAATAACCAAAAAATCCCTTAACTTGATAGCTCCAGTCAGTGATGTTGCCAATTTTACTACCTTTGGTGAGCTTGATGTGCGTTTCCATGACAACAACAACTTTTGGAGTTATAACACCCCTGTGTTTCCCGGATTTGCTTCTCCTGGCTGAGAACCAGCGCGTCAGCATCCTTTGAATGAACATGAACAATTCCACGACTGGTGAAGCCCGGGATTTGGACAAAACATTGTTAAGTTGCTATGCAACGTTGCTGCTTAGGAGGTTGTACCAGTTGCCTTGGAAATAAGTCCTTGACCATTTAGCAATGTTGATATCTTCAAGATATTTAGCTTTAGCTAGGCCTTTACTCTTATAACGGGAAACAACGTTCCTCATGATATGGACAATACATACGCCATGGTGAGCTTTGGGGAAGACAATTGTCTTGGCTTTAAGAAGAGAGATATGACGATCTGAAATTATTGTCAGAATATTCGAGTCAGAAATAATTCTTTCAACCTGTGTAAGGAACCAGGTCCAAGCATGGTCATTCTTCGCATCCACAACAGCAAAAGCAAGAGGGGAAACTTGAAAGTTCCCATCTTGGCCGCTTGCGGCGAGGACACCTTTATATTTACCAGAGAGATGGGTGCCATCAACAATGATAACAAGACGGAGACGACGGAACCCCTGTAATGAAGCACCAAAAGATAGGAAAGCGTAGAGGAATCGAGAATCACCAAATTCATCACGTTTGGTTTCTATGGCAGTGACGGTGCCAGCGTTTGTGAGTTTCAGCCTGTGAAAGTATTCAGCGAGATTGAGGTATGAATTCTCGGCTTTGCCAACTGTGATATCAACGGCTTGTTCTTTGGCATGGTGACATTTCAGGTATGAAGCACACACACGCAAGTCTTCCAACACTAGCTGCTGCATCTGGGCCGCTTTGGGACCGTCTTTTGGTTCAGTGTATCGGGAACGGTAAACATGAGAAATGAATTTGGAGGTGGCCTTGCTCTTGTATTGGTCGCGCTAGTCCAAAGGGCAGATGTTATTAAGCTGGGCTTTTTGGATAGTGTAATAACCACATGTGGTGAGTTCTTTAGCTAGTATACGCCATTCACAGTGCGTGTCATGACAACTGAGAACAAAAGAGCTCCTTGTGGTGCGGGTTTGCCTGAAATGGAAACGGTTCTTGATTGCATAGATAGCTAATGCAATTTGACATTCATGTTTGGATGCATATAATTTGCCAACGGTTGGTTCACCATCCGTTTTATCCCAATTGAGATTCAGTATATCATCAGATTCATAAGCGAGGTCATCAAATAGCGGGGTAGATCAAATTCTTCATCAGTTATCTCAGATAGTGGCCTAGTCTCCCGTGAAGGTGGGGTAGCAGATTCGGGTGGATGAGTGGTACCCTGCGTTGGTGTACCCGTGGACCCTGCTTTCCGGTGTACACCTTCATAGTGAGGCGAGGGGTCTGGTCTTGATGTACGTGTGGACGCTGAACCTTTTCGTACATAAGGACCTTCCTTTTGGTGTACACCGAAGAAATCCAAGTCTCTTTTCCAATATGTATCATCTTCACCCGATAAACGAAAAATGTGACCAAAGGCGTCACTGGTATTGCACTGGTAAGGTGGCGAGCTCTTTGGATTTAGGAGGCCAGTAACTCAAGACAGTCCTAGGAGGGAGATCTGTGAAAGTAAAGAACTCTTGAGCAACATTGTTTTGTAATTCGAGCAAGGTCATGCCAACACGAACGGAGACAATCATAGACATCTTCTTCTTATCTATTACGAAATTCTAGAGAGAGTCGCCGGAGTTCCATTCTCCAGGAATAACCATGATGTGTTCTGCCATGGCAGAGCTGCGTGGGAAAACAAAAAGCAAAAACAACAAAGGATATGATTGTTGAGGTATTGTATAATTACAATTGTTAGTTTAGGGTTAGAAAACTAACCTGATGATACAATTCGCTTAATTACTTGAGCAAATCTGTTATAAGAAATAAAAACGAGAAAGCTAAAGTACATAAAAGCAGAAAATTAAAAAAGATGACATCTTGTCCTAAACTGGACCGTCAGATGTTATTGTAAACAAAGAGATCCTATGGTTGGAATGAAACATATATAAATCTTGTTATATACTAGAGAAGTCATTTGAGCCATTGAAAAGGTTGAGGAATGAGTGGCCTAAAATTATTCCCGCTAAATTATGGACTTAGTTGGACTTGGGTGTAGTTAGAAATTAATAAGTGTTTTACTAAAATGACTCAATTAAGAATAAGTGTCCTTGTATATGGAAGTGCCTTATCGTGCAATAAAAAACACTAAAGTGTTTTTGAGTGATAAATTTTTTGTTTTTAATACAATTGGTAAAAAAGATTACTTTACAGAGCTACAAATTTCATTATATGAATAGTTTATATATGGAGATTAGTTATGTGTTGACTTTTTATTAAATTAGTTGAAATTTTACCAAGTCATATAATTTCTCTAGTTTTTTTCTATAAGTTTTTTTTTTAATTTTAACTTCAATAAATATCTAACACTATTAAAAGGAGCATATACTCCTCATTCAGCCTATCCACGTCAGACTATAAAATCGGCCAATCAGATACTGACTTTTTGCCATGTCATTTGAGCTGAGTTATAATAGGCTTTTGTGTGGGCTTTGTTTCGACAATAATTCAGCCAATCCCAGCCTGTCGACAACTTCTTTTACGGCTTTCCATAATTTTTTCACTTCGTCTTCTCCGATCTGAGTTTTAGCTTTACGTTGAGCCTCTTCTCATCAATCAATGATCAACTTTAAGCTCTTCTTAAATTTTTCGTTGCGATTCCCTTTGATCCTTCACCTATAGAAAGTGTTGTATCTTAACATAAATCCACTCAAAATCAAAAACCTACTGTGAAACTACATCGATGTCATGAATTCCACCAGAGAATCTCAGATCTCCACCAAGAAAATCTCAAGTCGCTGTATATTTTAACGACGTCTCACATGACCAGCTCAGTCAGAGCTTCGATTTTGGTAGGTCTATTTCGGGGGAGACAAGAAACATTGCTAAAGGTTGGACCTTAGAGCTCCTCCTTATTGATGAACAGGTATGATTATCTTACTGCTACTTTAGTTCCATAATTATTCGAAACCAGTCATCTTTCGTACAGTTCCATTAATTGAGTGTGTGATTTTGCAGGCCGGAGTGAAATTGATCCTTGGAGATGGTCAAGGCCTGCCTGTCGAGGTGTAGACGGTGTTGGTATGGTATTTCTTCTTCCTTGAGAGTTTCTGGTTTTCTAAAGATCATCAGAGATAACCAAGTAAGGAACATACTAAACACTTGGTTGGCATTCATGTACACACTCTAATTATGTTTTGAATACATTGCTATTGATATAGGTTAACAAAAATTGTGAGATGTTCAAGCTGTATGCTGTTTGTGTTTTCATTGCTGTAAACAGAAGGAAGATCGATTTCAAACTCTCCCAAATCATCAGTAATAACTTTAATCTATTTTGAACTCCTTTTGTATCCAGTGTGGCACTTGATGGCAACAGTAGCACCTGTGAGGATTAACCAAGTTAAGTATTCATAGAGTAAAACATATGGAGAGACTCATGAATAGGTACGTGGTATAGCTATAGAAGGAAGGTTAGGAATAGGACGTGAAAGTATCGCAGAGAAGAGATCCAGTGATGATCACATAGGAGAGTTTTTGTTCACCATAGCCAGCCATCTCCACCATCTCTGTTCTGCTCCATATCTTCCCTGTAGTTGCAAACGCTTCTTGGAACAAGAACAAGGAGAAGAACAACAATAAGCAAGGTAAGCTTCTCATTTAAAATAATTAAGAAAACAGGTTTCTTTTGTTACTTTCTCTTATGTGATTATATTGATATGTCTCTTTCTCTAGATGGACCAAGAAGCTTCAACGGACTGTCTCTGCATTTTCTTGGGTGACATGACACAACACTAATGTTGTTGGTGTCCTCCAGTATGTAGGATCCTAAATACTTTATTTTCTTAGCCTTAGTCACCTTTTAAATTAGTTAATTTGGTTAATTACACTTTTGTTTTGATGTAATGAATGATTTAATACTGTGAAAGGTACTCACAGCAATGTGTATAAGGCAGAGATTTATCGACTTAAAAACGGTAGCTTCGAAGAAAGTTAGATTTGATTATTTGGAAGCATAAAGTGTTAAGTTCATGGCGAGAGAGTCTATGGAGCATGATCTCCTTGGCGGTCCTGAAACTCAAGGTATTAACTTTGATCATTTTCAAGTTTTGTTGTGTTTGCCGTTTAAATTCAGCCTGGTGAGTGATGAATATATTGTTTTATAGAAGATAAGGTGATTAATTACAGGAGTAGTTGATGTTCAAGTCTTCATCAAATCACATCTAATGAAAATGCAGTTGGTATTCTTAGGTGAGTCTCCATTAACTGAAATGTTTTCATCTAGAATACTGCAATGGTAAGCACTATTTTACTCAAAAAACCTAAACAATGATCATGTTGTTACTTATGCAGGTACCGAGTGCAGTATTTCTGTTTCGGATGGTTCAGGCATTGGCTGGGTTTGTGGCTTTTGATGGAGAAATAACTAAGCTAACAAATGCACATGCTTCACAGGATGCACAACTAATGGTAACACCCACACAGATCTTCTTATTATTTCAGAAACACAACTACTTAATAGTAAATGCATTTTTGGTGCAGGACCCTGATATGGTGGACCCCGAGAAAATATCCCTGCCACAGTGCTTGAAGGATTTGGTTGGCTGCACTTTCACTTTCCAGTTGAAGCTTTCCGCATTCAAATTCTCACCAGAGAATCAGTCCTTCACCAAATCAAGAATCTTTAACCGGCCAGTCTTAGAACTTTCTGAACATGTGTTTCAAATTATAGTTCTGTTGTTTGTAGCTGGAGCAGTTGCATCTAAGCCCTCCAATACTGTATGTCACCAAGGTCTCCCCTGCAACCAAAGCTTTGCTGACCAAGCTACAGCAGCTAGCAGTGTTGTCTACGATGAACATGTGGTTGGTGGAACCGTGGAAGCACAGATGAGTGAGCAGGACTTGAGGACAGTGTGCAGACCATGAAAAAGGCTCGCAATGCATAGCTTAGGGAGTAGCCAAGACCAATGCCCTACTACTTCTTACCTCAGGAGTTGATATTTTTCTAAGCTTGAATTAATAGATGATGAACTCCTTTTGTTTTTGTGTCTTATTATTTCCTAGGCTTGGTCAGTAATGAACCCTAATGGCCTCAAATATAATTTTAATGCAAACAGTTAAGAAAGCTTCTCATAAATTTCTATTTTGATACCTAAACAAATAAGCCCAAGTTTTAAAAAATTCGTAACTATCTTCTCCCTTTGCCAACAAACTTAACAATATGTTTTTAGTGGAAACCAACCTGCAACCACTAAGCTTATGGGAACAACCGATTAGACTCATGATTTCATGAAAATATACTAGATACCAACCTCTATTTCTATTTCACCCAAGTTGATTTATAGACAAAATACAATAATACTACGCCATAACAAAGGACGTTGGGCTGACTTTGCCGCCCATGACATTGAAATTCATAAGGTGGACAAAGCAGTTGAATAATTCTTAATGGAGATCAATGATAAGATAGTCAATTTGATTACCATTTTCGCATAACAGAAGGATATGGTCAGATACTCCTACATTCTTCAATACTTTGTTCATGAGGTTTATATTAGAAAAAACATTAATAACAATTTATGAATATGATTTGAGTAAGAAAAATTACTCACGTGGATAAAAATGGTCAAGAATTAATGAAAAATAAATTATGGAATTTTTTTAATGTGTATATACACAAATAAACATTAAAAAGAGAATGAAGAACTAAGACGAAAAATAACAAAAACCACGCAATAAATATATACATTGGCCAAAATTAGTTATACCTCATAATTCGAAAGGAAAAACAATCACAAGATTAAATGGTTTCTTTTGGATTGGATCGGTTTGAATAATTACATAAATATTTTAAAATATAATAATTTAATGGTTTCTTTTGGATTGGATCGGTTTGAATAATGTCAGTGTTTGGATCGGTTTCTATTTATATATAACCTGAAGTGAAATCTAATTACAAATAGTATGATTCAAGTTTAAAACCAAAATCTTGATTAACGCCCAAAAATTCAAATTAATTAAACCTAAAAAACTCGAAAAGCTCGGATAATTTAGGAATTTTAGATATTATTTACTTATGAATATCATTATTATTTTATTATATTTTAAATATTGAAGTACCGACCGTTTCGATTTTGGTTTTCCAGATTTATAGAAATATAAATAGATTGGGTTTTTGTAGATAGGAATCAATTTTTTTTAAAGGCTAAGTGACATTAATTTATATGAAATTTAAAATGGCAATTTTTAGGCCGCTGGCACATGACTATAAATATTAAGAAAAATTTAAGGTTTAAATACTAATTGTATTTCAGTTTTTTTTAGTTTAAATTGTATGATTTAAATGTGTTATTAGAATATTAAGCCGTTAGATCAAATTATCAAGTAGTTACAGAATATTGTAAAAGGACGTAGTAATTGGTAAACTTTTATACATTTTAGACATGTTATAAGTATATTAGAAAAGCCGTAGCATAATTTAGATAGTTACAGAAAAAAGTAAAATTTGGATAATTAAAATGCCGGAAACCACATATTTGGATAATTAAAATTCTGTTAATAAAAGAGAACATGATTAATGGGTTACATTAGGTGAATGACTAATGGATTATGTTAGGTTCATTAATGATTTACGTTTGACATAACGTGTGAAGTTCTTGTTTTCTATGCCTACAAGATAGAAAATTTAATACATTACTATCGATAGTATACATTATTAGCTTAATTGTATTCCACTGCATTTGTACTATTAAAAATTAAAAACACATCCCCAATAAAAGAACTTGGAGAGAAGCGAGATTTACCGGAGAAGGATAATAGCTATTCAAACACAAATCTCCACACGAGTTTGATATGTACTCAAGCTGGGAGACAAATTTGAATCTAAAAAGACCAATAGTTACTTCAAGTTAAATATAACTTTTGAAACAGACTTAAGTTTGCACCCTGCACTAAATATAACATGTTCACAATCAACACCAAGCATTAATTTTTGAAAATCGATAAGATCCCATGTAACAAAAAACTTTACGTAGCTACCAGAGAAACTTTAGCAAAGTACAAAGCAATAGGACCAAACTCAAACGCATCATACCATCAAGGATGGGACCCGCACAAATTGTTCAGAGCTAAGCATCAAGGAGTCAAAGTAAAAGACGTACCTCAATTTTTTCAAACCTGGAATGATCACCTGAGTCTAATTTCTTCTGAGTGCTAAAATCCGTTTGATTCGTGATAATCTCATGATAACCAGGAAGCTACCAAACAGAGATAAGATAAAATAGGACTAATGAGCTTTAACATTAACAAAAAGAACAGACAGTCACCTCCTTAGATGACAGTATCAGAATGTTTAGGCTTAGGAATGGTTTTCAAACTAATATATTCAGAGACCTCTAAAAGGTTGAAGAAGATTTATCTTCGACTTTCTTTTTCTTTGGCCGCCGTTTTGGGTTGCAGTAGAGGCTTGCTTACCATTGCTAATAGTTGAAGGTTCATCTCAAAACTCCACCTTGATGCCACTGTTACCATCTCCAATAACAGGTAATCAACAGTCTCCATGAGTTATAACCGAAAAGAATGAGACAAAGTCTAAACATTTAGGCATAACAAACAAAACTTTGAATAGAAAATTGAATAACTGTGTAGTCCACACTCCACAGGAGAAAATAGTTAAAACACAACCTTAGCCATGAGAGGACGAAGAGACATAAGTGAGAGCGTTCTCTGCATGGGGAACAGTATAACTGATTCATAAAGTTTCAAATCGTCCAACGGATTTTTTTGTTGCTTCTTTATCAAAGAACTAATCGAAAAGCTTGGTAACATCGAGAATATCTCCGGTGAGATCTAGAAGCTCCAAGGGATTAATAACTGGAAGGTCTTGCTCTGTCTCGTGCTATGCAATTCTGCTGAGCTCTCCACCGCAGATGATGAACATAACGACACCGTTAGCAAGAGAGATTTACACCTTCGTCATCTCTTCCCTTAGTCGCCAATGTTAGTCTTTAATCTACTAAAAAAAGGTTAGGTTAATCTAACTAAAGTTACGATTGGTTAAGAGTATTAGCGATGATTGATTAAATAAGTAAATCAAATTGATGCGGTTTGATAATTTAATTTGAACGATTTAAGTTAATGGCATTCATTTGTAATTATTGAGGAAAACTAAGGGGTATTTCAAAAGTGTACTTCAGTTTTAATAGATTAGATTAGTATGATACTTTATTAAATAATTATTTAAATAAAAATGAGACATGAAAAAGTAGAAAATATATCAAAGGAATATGGAATAATAAACAAATTTAATAAAAATATTATATAAATATAACAAATTAAAATATATAATCCGTGCGTAAAAACGAAATATAGAAAATATACCCATGCGTACCCAGTTTTAAAATTTACACTTAGACACAAAACTAAAACAAAAAATAAAGTGTTATTTATCAGAAAATCACATTTCTCTGCACAGTGTTCTAGCTGATAACACAAAAAATGGAAGTCAAAATGCTACCGTGATGATAGATATCTTCTCACCTCCATGTACCTATATTATGAAAAAAAAACAGATTTCTATTACTGATAACTACTCACTAACTTATTTTAATTAATTTTCAGGCCTCAGCTCAAAACACTCCCACCCCATCTACATCATCTATTTCGAGATTACCACCTGCTTCTCCATTATTAATATTTTCTATTGTTTGGGATTTAATAAAAAAAAAATTTCACGATTATGATAACTAAAATATACTTCTAAACATTATTTCACCAACGCTTCTATTTCATAACTGGTCTATTATTTCCGCAAGTTTAATTTATGAAAACCAAACTCCAAAAATCAAACATTACTTACTACCTACTTTTAGCTGAACATTTACTACAGTTATTAAAAGATATTATGTGTAAATCACCTGTAAACAAATATTAGCATCTCGGATTTCCAAAATTTTTAATCAAAACTCTTTCCAAAAATTACATAATAACACAACAAATGGTTTCTTTCCTACACAATAACCCGGGCCGTAGCCCGGGGAAAGGATCTAGTATCAATAACAACACGTGACAACAAAAAATAACAGAATAAAATTAACTGATTAATAGCAACTAGGTGACCGGCCCGCACCCTGTGCGGGTATATACAGATTCAATTTGTGGACTTAATAATACAAAGTTTTAGAAGTAATAGATTTTATATCATAAGACCACCGTCTTTGAGGTAAAGAATCAGACACAGAAAAATGCTGGTACACAATATTTTACATGGAGAAAATGGAACAAAGTAATTTCAGTATCAATAGGTAGTTATTGTGTGTATTTATAATTGCAACATCACAAAAAAATATGTGTTGAAGGTTGAATTTTATTTTCCAAATCTGAAATTAATAGTGTGTATTTTTATAAGTAACATATTTTC